AATATGGATCTCTTCCAGTCAGTTGGCCAGGCAGTTGTCCTCCAAATTTCTTGGCACAACTTGATGAACACATCCAGGGTAGCATCTGTTTGTTGAAATACGTCATTTATATGCCGTCAATTCCTGCAGCTGGAACTTCTTCCTTCACCACCACAGGCTCTTGTTCATATGCTGTTTCACGAAATTCTTCTGTGTCAGCCAATTCTTTTTGGTACAGTGACTCTGTCTACTCCTTCCATCTTCTTTTAATGCTTCCTGAATAATTTAATATTCTACCCAAAGCATCCTTATCTATTGCAACTCGAGGCTTGCATTTGTTCTTCAGTTCTTTCAGTTTAAGAAATGCCAGGTGAGTTTGCCCCTTTTGATTTTCTGACTCCAGTCCTTTGCACATTTCATTATAATAACGTGCTTTGTCTTCCCACACTGCTGTTTGAAATCTTCTGTTCAGCTCCTTAATATCTTGATTTCTTCCCTTTGCTTTCCCTTCTCTGCACTCTAGTGCAATATTCAGAGTCTCATTTGACATCCATCTTGGTCTTTTCTTCCTCCTCTGTCTTTGTAATGACTTTGCATTCTTTTTCGATGATATTCTTGATATCCTCCCACAGCTCATTTGGTCTTCACTCATTAGTGGTCAATGCCTCAAACTTATTCTTGAAGAGATTTTGAAATTCAAGTGGGATAGATTCAAGGTCAAATTTGGTTCTTGTGGATTTGATTTCACCAATTTTTTAGCTTCAGTTTGAACTTGCATATGAGTAGTTGGTGGTCTGTTCCACAGTCAGCACCTGGTCTCGTTTTACACAGCTGATAGTGACCTTTTCAAGTGATTCTTCCCACAGATGTGGTCAATCTGAGTCCTACGCATACATCAGGTGAAATCCATGTGTGTAGTTTTGCATTTATATTTCTTATAAAAAGTATTTGAAATGAATAGGCCATTGATTGTAGAGAATTCTATCCTTCTGTCTCCAACTTCATTTCTGCCACCAAGTCCATGTTTTCAGAGTACTGATCCTTCTTCCCTGTTTCCAACTTTTGCATTACAGCCACCATTATTATTAATGTGTCTTGATTGCATGTTCAATTGATTTCTGACTGTAATAGTTGGTAGAAATCTTCTATTTCCTCCTTTTTAGCTCTAGTTGTGCATTTATTTGAATGATAGTGGTATTCACTGGACTTCCTTGTATGCCTATGGATACTATCCTGTCACTCACAACACTGTATTTCGAGATGGTTCTAGGAATGACTTTTTTTAAACTATGAAAGCAATCTCACTTTTCTTCACCTTTCCCTCTCTAGCATAGTAGTAGATCATATTCTTGTCTGATTAAAAATGTCCCATGCCAATCCATCTCATTTTGCCAAAACCTAGTATGTCAATATGTGTTCCATTTCTTCCTTAATGCCCAATTTTCCTACATTTATGCTTTTAACATTCCCTGTTCCACTCACTAGTGTCTGTTTACAATTGATTCTCCTCCTTTGTGTTTCCATACTTGAGATCCCAGCTTCAGTTGCAATACCTGCTAGTCTATGTGTATTCTACTGTACATTGTACACTCTATTTTTTCTAACATGTTATCACGCTGTTTTGAAAGGGATCCAAGTTATCCTATTAAGCCCTTCTGCTTACTCAGTTATATTATAATTTTCCTGTAAACAAGGTTGGTGGCAGCTATGTCCTGTGACCATCCTCAGGCAGCAGATAGCAGTAGTCTTTCTTAAATTCTCTCTTCCTCAGCTGCCATTAGGCTCAAATGTGGTACATCCCTCAAGAGTGAAAAACAAATATCCTCTATAAGAGGCATGAAATGCATCTGTATCATTCACCAGTTTGCAGAATGGAAAGGAGATTAATTTTACTGTCATATTGCTCAAACTCTAGTTTTTGGAGAATATTGAACAGTCGTAAATAATAAACTGAATGGTAAAGGAAGAAACAACTAAGATGTATCTTTCAATCAGCAAGAATGAGGTTTTGTGATTTGTTCTTTACATCACAAAATAATACAATAACCAGCTTCTGTCTGAAGAATAGAAGAAACATCTGGTGAGCTAGTTCTGAAAATCAGCCAGTAAAAATTCCATAGATCACAAGAGCCCAACTCAGAACCAATCATGAAGGTGGTGGAGGACCAGGAAGCTGGGCAGGAGCAGGAGCAGAAGCAACAACACTAACAATCTATAAATATGGCATTTACTGATGGAATTTATGGCAAGAAAGACAACCACAAGCTAACTTAAGGTTAAAGATTTCAAAAAGAGCATTAAAAAAGAGCATTGCAAGAACACGGAAATGTCCAACGACAATCAAATAGATTGAGATATTATGGTACATTCCCACGATGGGATACATCTGCAGGAGCAATGATTTTGTAAGTTATTACTTAACTTGGGAGGGACTGGAGAGCATTATACTAAGTGAACTAACTTGGTCCCATAAGGACAAATGCTGTATAAGACCATTATTCAGAATGAGTTGAGAATTTTTCTCCCTAAGTTCTTTACAGTCAAATAATTTCCATGTTACAATATATTAATATTATTTTTTCAATGTGCTAGGATATGGAAAAATTAGGAAGTACCATTGTAAAGCATTTTTCACTATTTTTTGTGTAGAAAATACATAACCTTTTTATTTCAAGCAGTTCAGATGAATAAGAAGATAAGAAATGGTGTATTATGCAGAAGGAACATCTTGGGCAAAAACAAAGAGGTGAAAAAGTAAGAAAATTCCTGATACTGCAAGAATATTACAACAATGAGAGGACTTTGTCTCCTTGTAAGCTGTTGAAGGCACACAGCTTTACTCTGTAGAGAAAGGAAGACAGGATTAAGAGGTGAGTATTAACCCTCACGAATTTAAAATAAGTATCTATATTTTATTTATACCCTTTAATATATTAAATACACAAACATGATGCAAGACAGGCCCAGAGAGGCCAAAAGGAATTTATGAGAGAAGCCAGGTATCTGGCTGTGCAGCCACTGTCTTTATCCGCAGCCTGTCCCTTCCTTTCAGATCATCTTCTCAAATTATCCATAGGAGATTTATCCACATACTCAATAAGAAAAATATTTCTAATTATATCCAGCAATTCTTAATATGAATGAGAATTATGCAGGGGCACTCAATTGCCAACATGCTTTTTTGCCAAACAATTCCTTTTGACTTAAGAAAGGAGAGGCAGCTGCATTGTTTCCATAACTATCCATATAAAAGAGCCCTTGGAACGAGGCTGACTCGTCCTGCTTTAAAAAGCTCCAAGGTAAGTGGGAACAGGACCTGGCTTTTCAAGAGGAATACTCGGGCTGTACTGCCCAGTCTCGGCCGCAGCTGCTAGTTCTGGTACTGTTGTTCTTTTTGGTTCTGTAGATTTTACATCTGGGTCTCTGGGCATTCTGTTCCCTTCTGTATATAATAACAAATCATGCTGCAAGTGTAAATTATTATGATTTTTTATTTTTAGTTAACACTAAAGAGGTGGTTTCCCCTGCTCCCTTTCTTTTACAGAACTGTCTCACTTCCAGGCTACATCTCCTCACTCGTTAACAAGGTAAGATCTGGACTAACTAGTCTCTAGAAAAGTACAGAGCTTTTGATATGGATTTATGTCATTGAACAACCTCTGAGAAAGTGCTTGTCTCAGGGAACACAATCTAACAATCATACTTCAGGAGAGCTGATGGAGAAGGGGGGAAGGGAGGGCTTTTCTTTTAGAACAATTCACCTGGCTTGATTTATGACTCCAGCATTGATGGGGTAACATTTTAGCAAAAGAAAAGATTTGCTAGAATATTACTATATATCCTCAGAAAAGCCAAATTGCCTTGCTGAGATTACCTTGCTCAAAGAAAAATGACAAATTTGAAACAAATGGATCCAGCTATTAGAATCTGTTTAGTCATAACCATACTAGCCAATAGAAAAAATAAGACAGAAATACATGGGGTAATGGATCCTTTATACATCTTAAAATCCTTTTGAAAGTCATTGTACCCAAGGCAAAGCATTGCAGGAAGTCAAAATCTAGAATTTTGGTTACACAGATAATAATTTAATTTGCCCTGCTAAAACACACTGTATTTCTAAAGAGAGGCACGAGTGGGTTAGGCTGATTAAAAATTAGTTTCTAATAATTTGATCATGAAATGACTGCAGTAGGATTCTTTGCCCAAAGGGCCACAAACAATTTTTTCCAAGCCCAGATTTTTTTTTACCTGTTGATGTTACTGTTAACATGGAGCTAACATAGAATGGAACATGGGGGCCAATTTTTCGGAAGGAAATTTGGATAACAACAACAATGAAAGCATCTTCAAAGTAGGATGAGGATCATGTCTGCTGGGGCTTTTACACTGATTAACTGGCTTTATTCTGAAAAGAAATTATGGTAGAATTCTACAAAACACCCATTTTAAAAAGTTTAGTAAAGTTATAATGCCAAGAGATACCAAGCATTTATAAGAGGAAATGAAGCTTGCTTACACTACAAGGCAGGAAATAGACTTTTGTTTTATAATAATAAGCAATCTTTTCCATATGATTATTTCAAATTGTCCCTCCCTTAAAGCAATCTTCACAATATTTCACAGGTTGTTGATTTAAGAAAGGCAGAGGTTAATAATTCCTATCCTACAGATGGAAATATCAAGACTCAAAAAAGTTCAAGTGACTTCCACAGGGTCAAAGCTACCCAGCATTGTTAGGAATACAAAGCAGCCTCCCGATTAGAATGCTAGTCTTTGTGGATTAAAGACAAGAGTATAGAAATCCCTGAGTGTAACACTTGACAGAAAATGCTATCCAGTACATCATAGTCTAGTGATTACTGCTGACATCACTGGTGTGCTGTGTATGTGGCCAGTGGACTTCTCAAATGGGTCCAAGAAATACAATGAAAATGTAGAGTTGGTGCATATGGGAGCCTAGGATGTCTACCGTGCAATGTTTTATCTCCTTTAGGACCTTTGGCCTTTGAGCTGCAGCCATGAGTTCTGACTCAGAAATGGCTGTTTTTGGGGAGGCCGCTCCTTACCTCCGGAAGTCTGAAAAGGAGCGCATTGAGGCCCAGAACAGGCCCTTCGATGCCAAGACATCTGTCTTTGTGGTGGAGCCCAAGGAGTCCTTTGTAAAAGGGACCATCCAGAGCAGGGAAGCTGGAAAGGTGACGGTGAAGACCGAAGCCGGAGCGGTGAGTAGTACCCCTGGGACCCACCACTTTGTACTGATATCTTTGTGTTGTCACTTGATTGATACAAATGGCTATTCTCTTGTTATCAGACTCTGACAGTGAAGGATGATCAGATTTACCCCATGAACCCTCCCAAATATGACAAGATCGAGGACATGGCCATGATGACCCACTTGCATGAGCCTGCCGTGCTGTACAATCTCAAAGAGCGTTATGCGGCCTGGATGATCTACGTGAGTGGCCCTCCTCCTTCCAATGGTGCTTCTAGTCTCTCTAATCCGCACTGTACAACCTAGCACTGGGTCGCTTCCATGTACTCCACAGACAGCTACATGATGCTTTCACTAGCAGTTGTTGTTGATGAGTACTATCGAGTCAGAACCAACCAATAGCAGACCTTCCGGTGGGTTTTCAGAGGCAGTTAATCACACTGGAAGAGACTGTCCATCCTTCTCCCATGGAGCAGCTGGCGGATTCAAACCACAGGCCTTTGGGATTGCAGTGAAGTTATTCACCACTAGGCCACTAAACCTCCCTCCTCCTAGTATAACCACTTAAAAGAGCTATTATTGCCATTATAAGGGTCAAGCCAACAACTTGCCAACAATCCCTTATAGCCAAGGAAGACATGGTGGTTTTGTTTCATGGTTGCACACATCACTGGAACAGACATTTGAGGGCTCCTGCCTCGCGTCTCAACCTCATGCCTACATAGTCCCCCCTACTTCAGGTGCACAATGTGCTTATCTTTTAGCACTTAAAAACTGAAGTTTTAATCGCTTGTGCTCTCACTGCTCCAAAAATAACTTATCCCTGTCTTTTCCCTGCTCGTCTAGAATGTTACCTCCTCGGGGAAATCTTTGCTGCTTCCCCAGAGGAGATGTTCTGTCCTTCTGCTTCTGTCCCTGTAGACACATTGCCCTTGTTTTCCTGTGAACATTAATCAACATGTCTCCCCCATAGACGAAAGAGTTTCTCTAGAAAGATCATTGAACCTTTATTTCATTCCCAGTGCCTTGCAAGAATTCTCGGAACATAGTAGGCATTCAGAAAACATGGATGAATTGAATCCATTTGTACTTTTGAACTATGCAGCCAAGGGCTAATATTCAGCTACAGAGCTCTGGTGGTTAGTAGTAAGGATCGTACTGCCAACACAAAGCTATGTGGTTCAAACCCACCAGCTGTTTCACAGGAGAAAATGGTCAATGCCCTTCTATGCTCAATTTTTGTAAAAATTCATTCAATTAGTGAATTGTAAAAATAATAGGGAAGGTCTTTGGTGCTTATTCTTTCTTCTTCTCTTGCATAGACCTACTCGGGCCTCTTCTGTGTCACCGTCAACCCCTATAAGTGGCTGCCGGTGTATAACCCTGAGGTGGTCACGGCCTACCGAGGCAAAAAGCGCCAGGAGGCCCCGCCCCACATCTTCTCCATCTCTGACAACGCCTATCAGTTCATGCTGACTGGTGAGTGGGTCAAGTGATTTCTACGGGCAATCTTTTAAGAACTAAAGCATAAGAGGAAGCGAGTCTAACCAATGTCAATGCAGTCTGTGAGATGGCAGCTTCTATTGATGCTGGCATATTTGCAGGAGGGAAGGCTCCAGAATGGGGAGATTTTTGCAGTTCCAAAGGCCTGGTGGCCCAGGGAGATAAGGAGTTGCACTGCAGACCCGATTTCCTCCTGTGGGATTTCAGCCTCTGAAAACCCACTGGAGGGTCAACTAGGAGTCAGTTCCGGCTTGATGACAATGAAAATATGACATAAGAGCTCTGTTGTTTGCATGTATATTCAGTTTCACACATAGACTCACACAGACAAATAATTTCTATTACCATGAACCAAAATATAGAACAGTGTAATATGACTATGTGGCCTTACTTTTACACAGGACTAATAAATAGTCTTTCCATATTAAGGAAGGCATAAATACCATCACTCTTTCCCCAGAACCAACCAGATTAGGCTGTATATTTGGGGTATATGATGGTGTAAAGACACTTGTACCATGAATCTCCCCAAAACAGTACCTCATTAAGTCAGCTGAAGGCACTTGTTGCACCTTAAGAAAAAGGCTCAGATTTTCTCTTCAGAAAGTAGAAATATCAAAATGGGGTTTCACTTTTCCTTAAAATATGAAAAAACTATGGGTGATCACTTCCAAAGGTGCCACAACAACTGTATTTCTTATACACAAAAATATCTCCAGTTTCCATTTTTTTTCTGTGTCTGATGCAGGCCATGGTCTTTTCTGAGAGATAGACAATGAATAAGACTCACAGAAGAATTGAAACCTTTGAACTGTGGTGTTGGAGAAGAGTACTGCATACCCCACAGACTGCCAAGAGAACAAACAGATATATCTTAGGAAAAAGTACAACCAGAGCAGAATGCTCCTTAAAGACAATGATGGCAAAGCTTTGTCTCTCATACGTTGGGTATTTGGCTAGGAGAGGTTAATCCTTCAGAAGGGGCTTCATTTTGGAAAGGTGGAGGGTCAGTGAAAGAGAGGAAGACCCTCAACGAGATGGAGTGACACAGTGACAACAGAAATGGGCTCAGAGTGTCAGAGATGATGAAGATGGCACAGAATAGGTCAGGGCTCAGGTCTGCTGTTCTTCGGGTCACTATGAGTAGTCTAGGCAGCACCTAACAACAACAATGTAGTGCCCACTGTAAATGTCACTAAGTTAAGCTGCCATTTAACCTCACTGAAGAAAGAAATTAATTTTTGATATTTGGTTGGTGGTAGAGTATTAAAAACAAAAGTTAGGGGCCCTGGAGAATCCAGCCATATGGTCACTTATACTATGGTTTTCAAAGCATTTTTTTTTCCACAACAGAATCTTTTCTTCAAGTGAAATAAGTCTTGGGATACTTGCAAACACAGATAAAAGAGGGTGTGTTCTGTTAAAGTAGGTACAAGTTTACCAGAGGGTGATGACGAAGATGGGCCCCATGGGGAGTGGAGAGGAGCATGATAATATGGCAGGACAAGGAGGTGCCAAGACCTATGGGCTTCAAAACGTAATATGAAAGGTCATTTCATTTTCCTTTATTTACCATATACAATATATATATAAAGAATGCTAAAAGTCTACAAATTTTCCTTTGTAGATCGGGAGAATCAGTCAATCCTGATCACGTAAGTAGTTTTATGTTCAAGTTTCTTTTCTTTTTAAAGTACTTTGGTGTTTACACAAAAATTGAATAGAAAATATAGTTGTTATTGCTGTTGATGGACTTCGAGTCAAGTACGAATCATAGCAATCCTATGAACAGGTATCCATAACCCCCTTCTGTCTCTCACTTTCCTCCTTCTCCACCCATACACAGTCTTCCCTCTCATCAGCATCTTGCAGTGTGGTAGATTTATTGTAATTAATGGGTAAATACTGGTATATTATTAAATAAAGCTTGTAATTTACACTAGCTTTAACCTGTTGTATTGTATCATTCTATGTGTTTTGAAAAGCTTATCTACCATTTACAGTATCATCCTGAATAGTTTTAGTACCTTAAAAGTACCTTGTGCTCAACCCATCTTTCCTTCCCTTCCTTCTGAACTTTTCACAACCTCTCATTTTCTTACTGGCTCCATGGTTTTGCTTTTCCATAATGCTTCCTCTTGATGCTTGAATTAGCTGTCAGCTTGGGGACCTCATCTGATTTGTTTTCTCTTTGACAGCGGAGAATCCGGGGCAGGAAAGACTGTGAACACCAAGCGTGTCATCCAGTACTTTGCAACAATTGCAGTCACTGGAGAGAAGAAGAAGGAGGAAGCAACTTCTGGAAAAATGCAGGTGGGTTTGATTGTCATGGTCAAAACTCCAGTTAAAAAATTCTCGAGGCTCCAATGTGAGGACTGCTCTTCCTTTGCAGGGGACACTTGAAGATCAAATCATCAGTGCCAATCCCCTACTGGAGGCCTTTGGCAACGCCAAGACCGTGAGGAATGACAACTCTTCACGCTTTGTAAGTGCCTTAGAAATGACTATGGGCACTTTTCATGAGTCATAATTTATGGGAGGTTTGGGAACACGTTCTCGGAATCTTTTTCAGTCATGTTATATTGCATCACAGATGTATTCTTTTTCTGTGAGCATGGAATAACATGGATCAGAGCCTCATCTAAAAGGATATGTGTGACTTTTCTCCTCAGTTTTTAAAAAATCTATCATATTGTCCATAGCTAGTTATAAACTTTAACATCAAAGATAAAATTATTTTTACCTACTAATTAGGTATTCCTTCCCCTCCTATCTGATGTAAATATCCCTGGAAATGATTTAATATTGAAACACTATCATCTCCATTATTTTGAGCTTCTCATAGGTTTGGTATTACTTATAATCAAAGTGCTAATTGAATTTTACCTTCAAGGGTAAATTCATCAGAATCCACTTTGGCACCACAGGAAAACTGGCTTCTGCTGATATTGAAACATGTAAGTGTTTAATGTTAAGTTACTGTCAAGTAGGGCTCAGATACCCTTGAAAATAATTTCTGTTTCTTATGACCTATAACATTTACCAACAATCAATTATGAATCTTATGCATTTTTGACTTGTTTGTTTGCTTTTTGCCTAGATCTGCTAGAGAAGTCTAGGGTTACTTTCCAGCTTAAGGCTGAAAGGAGCTACCATATTTTTTATCAGATCACATCAAATAAAAAACCAGAACTAATTGGTAAGAAATTTCATAGCTTCCTTATAAGAAATATAGTATCAGCACCTATGAATGCATGATCCACCCTAGTATTCTACAGATGAACTTTGTTGAGTTTATATTTCATTTTGTTTTTGAACAAAGCCTTAAAACTGTAAAAAAATGTAAATGTGCCCATCACAAATTCACAAGAAAAGCAAAAGCAAAATTGAAAAGACCTCAATATTCTACCACAATGAAATAATGACTATGAAAAGATTTAGATGTATATCATTCTTGTAATTCTTAACCTATTATCTCTATATATAGATATATGAACTTACATAAATTGGATAACCATTACATGTTTTTCTGTAATCTACTTCCCCAACACTGAGTGGTAACATAGTTTTGTCCATGTCAATAAGCATTGTTTTCCATTCTTCAATTTAATGATTGTCTAGTATTCCATCTCAGAATAACTAAACTTAAAGGGGTAACATTTAAAGACATCTAGGTTGTTCCTAAATTGGATTTTAAAGACTAAACATTGCAATTAATGTCTTCATGGGCATAACTTATCCCCTTATATGATTATCTTCTTTGAATTAAGAGCGGTTTATGGGTGTAGGTATGATAGGAGACACACTAACTTCAAACTCAAGATGTTTGAGGATATGCTAAAGAACATTTTCCTTCAAAGATCACCATTCATAATTTAATCAAGCAGCACACAGTACCTAACGTGTCATATAAGATCTATTTTTATTAATAGAATAATTCTATTGATATATGCTCTATTCTATACTTTAGAAATGCTTCTGATTACCACAAATCCATATGATTACCCATTCATCAGTCAAGGGGAGATCAGTGTGGCCAGCATTGATGATCAGGAAGAATTGATGGCAACAGATGTAAGTGAACACAAGAAAATCACAACTGTCATGTTGGGTTGGAGCAACGGTTCTTTGAGATAAAAACCCTGTCTCTAATAGTGAAAAAGAAGCTCTGGTGGCTTAGTGGTAAGGAGCTGTGCTGCCAACTCAATGACAGGTGGTTCAAATTCACCAGTTACTCCACAGATGAAAGGCGATCAATCTCCCATAAAGTTTACAGTCTCTGAAAATGTGCTGGAAGGTCAGCGATAAGTCTGTTTCGACTTGATGGCACATAAAGATAACAGCAGTAGGGGAAAAATATAATCAAGGATGGACATCATCAAGGTGCTACTGAGAGTAAAATAAAAAGATTAAGATATGACCCTAAACCTTTGATAGCCTTCTAAAGAGTTGTAATTTCTGAATTTATCTAAACCACTTTTTCAAAGTCTACTTGCATTAGATCCCCACTATTGTTGTTGTGTACCATCAAGTCAGGACTGACCCATAGCTGACCTTCCGTCGGGTTTTCAGAGGCAGTTAATTGCCTGGTAGGAGATTGTCCATCCTTCTCCTGTGGAGCAGCTGGTGGCCTTGAACTTGAGTGCCTTTGGGATTGCAGTGCAGCTTCTTACCACTAGGCCACCAGAGCTCCCAGATCCAAAATAACAAGTTCCTTCAGTTTGCTATCATTATGCTCTTGTTCAAATTTTTTTGATCATCAGCAGATGTACATATATAATACTTTATATGCTTATAATACTTATAATGCTTTGTGCTGGCTTCTGTCCAACCACATCTCTGTATGCCCAACTTAAGGGTCTCCTTGATTCCTGTTAGTGTTGGTGGTATACTCACCTCAGCTCAATCAACAAATCATGAATGGAATGTGAATTTTAAATAGTAAAGTTTGTGGATCATCATCTAACAGCTACCTTATTGGTTCTATTGACAGAGTGCTATTGACATTTTGGGTTTTACCAATGATGAAAAGGTCTCCATATACAAGCTCACTGGGGCTGTGATGCATTATGGAAATATGAAATTCAAGCAGAAGCAGCGTGAGGAGCAGGCTGAGCCGGACGGCACTGAAGGTACCCACGGGGTCTCTATTTTGTTTCACATTTACTTGAAAATCACATTTTTAACTGGTTACCCTTGAGTTCTCCTGGAATGAGACATCAACTTTTAAGAATTGAGTTTCAAAATATAGCTAAAAAATATATTAAGTGAAGCACTGACATCAGATGGATGATTTGTATAATTTCTAAAGTTCTTTAGTGGAAATGATACATAGGCAAGATCTTGAACTTGGTGTATAATGGGTAAGAATATTAAAAAAAGATATTCTGAAAACATTGAACACAATGGTCATGTTTTATATCTATCTATCTATCTATCTATCTATCTATCTATCTATCTATCTATCTATCTATCTCTGCATGTTGTTGCTATTGTTTTGTGCTGTTGAGTTGGAACCAACCCATAGCTGACCTTCTAGCAAGTATTCAGAAGTAGTTAATCACACAGGAGGAGAGTGCTCATCTTTCTCACACAGAGAAGCTTGTGGATTTGAACTGTGAACCTTAAACATATATGTATTTATGCACACACACACACACACACACACACACACACACACACACACATTCTGGTGGCATAGGGCATAGGGACTTGCACTGCTAATCCAAAGACTACACCTCTCTATGTTTTACTTTGCTTTTAAGGAGTGAGGTTTTTAGAGCCATGTTAACTTTCTTTTCTTCTTAACTGTGATTTAGTTGCTGACAAGGCAGCCTACCTGCAGAGTCTCAACTCCGCTGACCTGCTCAAAGCCCTCTGCTACCCCAGGGTGAAGGTTGGCAATGAGTATGTCACCAAAGGGCAGACTGTCGAACAAGTAGGTGCACAATTCAAATATACCACCAGTGATACAACCACTTTTAAAGTCCTCCAATAACATCAAGAATTCTATCTTTGTCTCTCAAGGTGACCAACGCAGTGGGTGCACTGGCGAAGGCCATGTATGAGAAGATGTTCCTGTGGATGGTCACCCGCATCAACCAGCAGCTGGACACCAAGCAGCCCCGGCAGTACTTCATTGGGGTCCTGGACATTGCTGGCTTCGAGATCTTTGATGTGAGTTAGCAGGTGCTGGGATTTTACAATGTTGTTGTTGCTATATGATCCTATGAACAATGGCTCTGGACTTTACCCTATCCTGAGTCAACCTCACAGTCTCTGACAAACTTGACCCATTGCCATAGGCACTATGTTGATCCATCTCATCCAGGGTCAACAAGGCTGAATTTGTGAATATTGTTGCTGTGTGTTGTATTGTCAGAACTGACTAATAGCTTGGAATAACAGAAGACTCTAAAAATGTTACAAAGCAAAATAGGACTGGCATAAAAATATTAAATTCGTACAATATATTATTATATATTGTAAATATGTGGAAGAGAAGAAATAACTTATAACTACTTGTATGCTCCATGATTTATTCATCACAAGTACTTCTTTTATAAAACACAAATGGCAACTTTACACATAGACCTCACCAGCTGGAATGCACAGGAATCAGATTGACTACATCTGTGGAAGAGATTGTTGGAGAAGCTCAATATCAGTAATCAAAACCAGACCAGGTGCTGATTGTGGAACAGACCATCAATTACTCATGTGCAAGTTCAAGACAAAGCAGAAGAAAATGAAAACGAGTTCATGAAACCCAAAGTAGGACCTTGAATCTATCCCCTTGGAATTTAAAAAACATAATGTATATAAACTTTGTAAGCAAACCAATTAAAAAAATAATGTAAAATAGAATGTATATGAAAGTTTATATGAAGTAAAATATTAATGAAAGATTGTAGAAAACAATATATAGGAATGAAACATACTGTAAAGGAATTATGTGAAAATTAATAAAAATATTTTAAAAAAATCATCTTAAAAATAGCTTTGAAGTGTTGAACACCAATGACAGAATATCAAATGACTTGTGAGATGAGACTAAGGATATTTTCCATGAAGCAAACAAAAGGTCACTAAAAAGACATAGGAGAAAGAAAAGACAGAAATGGATGTCAGAAGAGACCATGAAAACCATACTGGCGCACCAAGAAGCAAAAACAAATGGAAAAGATGCTGAAATAAAAGAACTGAACAGAAGATTTCAAAGGGCAGCTCGTGAAGACAAAGCAAACAACTAAAAGAAAAAGTGCGAAGACTAAAACAAAGAACTTGCTCAGAATTTCTCAAGCTGAAGAAACTGAAAAACAAACTCAAACCTTGAGCTGCAATACTTACAGATGCTATGGGAAAAATCTTGAATGATCCAGGAAACATCAAAAGAACATGGGAGGAATACACAGAGTCACTGTCAAAAAAAAAAAGTTGGACAGCACTGAAATATTTCAGAAAGTACCATATGATCAAGTGCCAACGATAAAGAAGGAAGACATTCAAATTGCACTGAAGGCACTGGCAAAAACTAAGGCCCCAAGAATTGATGTGATACCTATTGAAATGTTTCATATGATAGACATACTTCTAGACATGCTCACCAGTCTATGCCAGGAAATTTGGAGGACAGTTACGTGGCTAACTGCTTTGAAAAGATTAATGTTTGTTCTCATTCTAAGAAAGGTGATAGAACAGAATATGAAAATTATGAAACGATATAATTAATATCACATGCAAGCAAAATACTGCTGATGACCATTTGAAAACAGCAAGAAGAGTAACAGAGAACTGCTAGACATGAAAGGTGATTTTAAAAGAGGCCATTGTACCAGGGATATCATTGCTGATGTCGGATGGATCCTGCCTCAAGGCAAAGAATACAAGAAGAATGTCTATTTTTGCTTTATTGACTAAGGAAAGGCATTTGACTGTGTGGATCATAACAAGTTATGGCCAACATTGAGAAGAATAGAAATTCCAGGACACTTAACTTGTGCTCCTGTAGAATTTAGACCAGGAGTTTGCCAGTAGAGCAAGGGAACACTGCATAGTTTAAAATTAGGAAAGGTGTGCATCAAGGTTGTATCCTTTCCCCTATTTAATATATATGCTGAGAAAATTACCAGAGAATCTGGATCCCATGAAGAAGAATGTGGCATCAGGATTGGAGGAGGATTCATCAATAACTTTTGATATGCAGATGACACAACCTTGCTTACTGAAAGTGAGTAGGACTTGAAGTACTTTCTATAGAAGATTAAACATCACAGTTTTAAATATGGATTGCATCTCAACATTAAGAAGACAAAAATTCTCGCCACTGGACTAGTTGTCAACATCATGATGAATGGAGAAAGGATTGAGATCGTCGATGACTTCATCTGACTTGGATCCACAATCAATGTACTTGGTATCAGCAGTCAAACAGAGCAAGAGACATGTTGCACTGGGAAAGCCCAAGGTCAGGGACCTCTCCAAAATATTGAAGAGCAATGATACCAGTTTGAGGGCTAAGGTATGCTCGATTTTGGCCATAGTCTTTTCAGTCACTTGCTGTGTATCAGAGAACTGAACTGAGTATGACAGAAGAAGAATTAATGTCTTTAAACTGTGGTGCTGGAGAAGGAATGCTGAATGGATTGCCAAAAGCACAAACATATGTTTTGGAGAGCATGCAGCCAAGGTGTTCCCTGAAGGCAAAGATGATTAAGTTTTGCCTCATACTTTGGGCATGCTATTAGGAGAGGTTACTCTTTGGTGAGGGACATCATGTTTGGGAAGGTGGAGGGGCAAACAAAAGAAAGATCCTTGACCAGGTAAGTTTGACAGTTACTACAGCAAAGGGCTTGAGTGTGTCAGAGATTATGAGGATGGCACAGAATAGGACAGTGTTCAGACCAGTTGTTCATAGGGTCACTATGAGTCACACTCAATGGTACCTAACAACGACAACAACAACAACTTGGGTGAGTAATGAAAACTGAGGAAAAGTTAGTGATTTAGAGTGAGCATTTATCAATACAATCAATTACTAATTCTCCTCATTAATGTGGTGACATGGTATAAAAGTTCATATTTAAGTAAAGGATGAATTTCCCTTATATTCTCTTTGTTCCTATACATAAAACAAAACTTGCCAATTTCAGAAAATACATAAAAACTCAAGGAAAAACCTTCCACAAAATTTACAACTATTTTTAAAAATTCTATCTAATCACTAATATTAACATTTTAGTGAAATTTCAGCAAACAGAAGTCTATGTTGCCATTACTGCACATTATATTTGGTATATTGATTTTTTTAATTTCACATTAAAAAACAGAAGTGGCAATTACTGTTCACCTGAAATGACTCCTATGCAGTAAAGTCTTTTCTGAGTGAGCCAGACAGCCAGCTTCTAATAGTTTACAGGGTGAGTCTTAAATAAGTTGATAGAAAACTATCAGCTTTCTGAAAAATACAGAAAGAATGAAAATTAAATATTGTATTATTAAATAGGACTCAAGAAAACACTTGCATAAGTGAGTGAAAAAGTGGGTAGGGGGTAATTAATAATATACCATTAGATTTCCTATAAAATAGCAGCAAAAGACAACAATAGACTCCATATGCTTCCAAAACTTCTAGAAATTTCACCCTGGAACTTTGGAACTCTTTTCAGCCCAGTGATTTTTGACACCTACAACTGAAAATCAATTTGGCACATATTTTTAAATGGAAAGGCCTGCATAAAGGATATTCAATTCACATAAAGGAAAAGTAAACCCATGTGTTCATTTAGTTTAACAGCCTGGAGCAGCTGTGCATCAACTTCACCAACGAGAAACTGCAACAGTTTTTCAACCACCACATGTTCGTGCTGGAGCAGGAGGAGTACAAGAAGGAAGGCATCGAGTGGACCTTCATCGACTTTGGCATGGACCTGGCAGCCTGCATTGAGCTCATCGAAAAGGTTAGTTCAGCCTTTCAGAAAACATTTTTTGTGTGTGACAACTATATGATCCACTGAATCCTAATTTTATTCTATAGACAAAAAAGATGTTTCAATAAAATGAGAATGTTGTACTTGTGGCCTGTTTTCCAGCCCATGGGCATCTTCTCCATCCTAGAAGAAGAGTGCATGTTCCCCAAGGCCACAGACACCTCCTTCAAGAACAAGCTGTATGAACAGCATCTTGGGAAATCTTCAAACTTCCAGAAGCCCAAGGTGGTGAAAGGGAAGGCAGAGGCCCACTTCTCCCTGATTCACTACGCTGGCACCGTGGACTACAACATCACTGGATGGCTCGACAAGAACAAGGACCCCTTGAACGAGACTGTGGTTGGGCTGTACCAGAAGTCTTCTATGAAAACTCTGGCTTTCCTCTTTTCCGGAGCACAGACTGCTGAAGCAGGTAACTCTGGCATCTAGCAGTTCTTGTAGGTATCATAAAACATGGCGCTAGGTCAAGGGTAGTGAGATCATTTCTAGCTTTAGCACAAGAGTTACAGGGACAAATATTTCCTTTCTTCAGGCTTTGAGTAGATGCAAGCTAGGCTTTCCCAGTTCTCTCCTGTTTCTTCTATATCTGCTAGGTATTGATTATCTGGAGATATTCAAGGAATTAATAGCAAAATATTGCTGCCTCTCAAAGTTAGCTTTTATTGATGATAGTATTTTAAGTTAGTATGTCCTGAAATACCTGAATAATAAGGAATCCATCTATATCTGGTGAGGGGAATGCCCTTTATCTCATTTCCCAATATTGCAGTAATCTCAAAAATAGATGCACATTTAGTTGACAGATAAGATTCACTCAGGGTCAAGAATGGTCAGGAGGGTCTCAAAATGTTCCACTGATAAGAAATCAGAAAATAACAAGTCTTTCTGACAATTTAGAACTGTATGCCAATTTAGAAAATGCTATTTTCTTCTTCTTCTTTTTTTCCTTCTTTCTTTCCAGAGGCCAGTGCTGGTGGCGGTGGGGCTGCCAAGAAGGGTAGTAAGAAGAAGGGCTCCTCATTCCAGACCGTATCTGCCCTTTTCAGAGTAAGGAACAACCCATCTGCCACACTCCCCTGTGACTCTGGGAATGTGTTTTGGAAAGCACAGGATCTTTTTTTCCACAAGTCATTTAGGAAAAGCTGGCCTTAATGACCTAGCATAGCTGGCCTGTTGGTCTGGCATAAGTGAGAAGGACTTTGAACTATTCAATATGTAATAGCTCATCTTTCACTCTAAGCCAAACAATGAAGACTATTTTACAGGAAATTCCATAAAACTGAATACTCTGCCATTCATTATCTAGCTAAGTGATGAAAAGAAGCAATGGCATGAACTCAGAGTCTAAAATACACCAGGCAGACCAATGAAAATATTACTACAGTGACTGTAATGAACCTCAGTGGTGTCCTTGCTCTTAAGCTCATTAAATCCTTGCTTATAACTTGGAGGATTAGCCTCTTTACAGATAATCTTCATGCCCTAACATTGATAGAGATGAAGAGATGGGAATCTATATTTGGTAGAAAAATGGAAAATGTGGTACTGTTTTTCATTTCCATACTGGAGAACTATAGTTTAGTTGAAGAAAGAATGATCCTACAGTATGTGAAAACAGTGGCTTTTTGGATGCATGTGTAGCCAGAGACCAGGGTATTAAGAAGGATGGTGCTTGTTTAAACTGAGAAGAATCACATGGTAGGTTGTTTTAATTCTTGCCAACTCCACTGGAGAAAAGATACTGAAGGGGAAACTATCTCAGGCGAGCACCTTAAAATGATAATGCTTGATCAGAGGTCACTCAACTCAGCTACAAACAATGGTTTTAAATCAGCAGCTGCTCCTAGCCATGCCCAGAGTCTGTACTAACAGAAGTTTTCCTAATTTTATAGGAGAATCTAAATAAACTGATGACCAATTTGAGGAGTACCCATCCCCATTTCGTGCGGTGCATCATCCCCAACGAAACCAAAACTCCTGGTAAGATGTTCTGGAGTGAAAGCATAAAACATGGTGGCCCTGGCCCTTTGTTTGGAGTCCAGCAGTGAAATGGACGTGTCTTTTCTAGGTGCCATGGAGCATGAACTGGTGCTGCACCAGCTGAGGTGTAACGGTGTGCTTGAAGGCATCCGCATCTGCAGGAAAGGGTTCCCCAGCAGGATCCTTTATGCAGACTTCAAACAGAGGTCAGACTCGTCAAGGCTCATCCTGACATTTAGTGGGAACAAAACCATTTACTGTCAAATAGATCTCTATTTGATGTGTTTAATTTGCCACAAAGAGGAATACACAAAGTAGAGGCTTTCAAATACTTTTAAAATACATGTCATATAGCATTATATTAGTATGTTGATTCTTTTAATGGAATTCACCATGCTCATTGGCTTAGAACATAGTTCTGCATGTTAACTTGAATAACTAAAAGAACTACTGTTTCTGAGTGTTAGATATGGATAAAAAATCTTTTTGCTTAAGTGCCTTAGAGTCATAGATGACCCATAGAGACTGCTAATGAAAGTCTTGAAGACAAAACTTTCATCTTTTTTCCAAGTTTGTTGACTTTCCAGAGGCCAGTTGGATAGCACTCCTGCTTCGAAGCCTGTTTTATTTGGGAGATCCATAAACAGGCCCGACAGCTGCAGGTCTGAGGGCTCAAAAGCTTTTTTAAATATGAGACCAAATCCAATCAGTTCACACCCTTTTGCGAGCAGTAGCCACACTATAGTCTTAATCCCAAAGCAGAAAACACAGTTTGGCAGAATCTGGCCATTCCACTCATCTTCCCAGCCTGGAAATAGCCCCAGACTGGCAGCCAAAGCCTTTTAAAAATAAGAGGCCAAGTCCAATCTGCTCACAGATTTTTTTCCTGCCACTTACATGGTATCATATATCTTCATATTTCATATACTACTTTCCCAGTGTTGTTCAGGATCAGAAGGCATATGACACAACAGTACCTTCTCATACCTTCCTCCCACTCCTCTTGGGAATCAAGAGAGAGAGAGAGAAAGAAAGAGAGAGAGAGACGGACAGTTGCTGGGTGGCAGATGCAGGGAGTGGGGTCCTTCCTAAACCTGGCTCTGGTGCCGTTGACAGAGTGCTTGATCCAAGGCACTGTAGGAAGAAAGGAGCCTTTTATGTGGTTTGATTTTATGTGATTAAGATGTCTTCCCATACCTAAAATGTACTTTATACTGTTTTGTTGTTGTTTTCTGTCAAATTGGAAGCGACCCATAGCTGAACCTCCAGCCGGTTTTCAGAGGCAGTAAATCGAATGAGAAGAGATTGCCCATTCTTTTCCTGCTAAGCAGCTGGTGCAGTCAGACTGTGTACCTTCAGAATTGCATCACAGTTTCTTACAGGTAGACCACCAGAGCTCTCCTCAGAAAAGACTTTCTTCCTTAATTTCAGGACCTTAAAAACCAAATGCACCTTGTTAGGATAACACGCTGCATTTTATTACTGGACATTTACACTCTCACACAAACAACAGAATCACACACACACACACACACACACACACACACACACACACATTCATATTTTTGAGAACAAAGTCTGATGAAAATAAAAAATAGTTTATACTAAAGTGACTATCCATGTAAACAATGCCTACTTTGTGAACAAGACTAATAATAAAAGAGCTTTAGTTTTTTAAGGCTCATTTAATGTCTGGCTACCATTAGTGTCATGGACTTCTAGGAAAACAAAGAAGTTCATCCCGGAGGGGGTAGAACCAGGCTGCTCCTTAGAGGCAATGATTCGGAAGCTTTGTATGAGATACTTTGGACATGTTACAAGGTGGGATCAGTCCTTGGATAGGGACATCATGCTTGGGACCGTGGAGGGACAGTGCTAGAGAGGGAGACCCTCAATGAGATAGATTGACTCAGTGACTGAGGCAATGGGAGTGGGTGAGTTAGAGATAATAAGATTGGCCCAGGACAGAGAAGCGTTTAGGGCTATTGTACATAGGGTCTCTATGAGTCACAGGTGACTCGACAACACATAAAAAACAACAGCCACAACCATTAATGTCAGCAGTAAATCAAATTAGAAAGAAAACAAAAATATGTTGGCTTTAACAGGTACAAGGTCCTAAATGCAAGTGCCATCCCTGAAGGACAATATATTGACAGCAAGAAGGCTTCTGAGAAGCTCCTTGGATCCATTGACATTGATCACACCCAGTATAAATTTGGTCACACCAAGGTAATAATAATTCCCTCCATTTCACTTGATGCATGTCTTGCCCCTTGGCATTTCATGTAAAGTTAATAACGTGGAGCCTTGCTTGTCTGCAGGTCTTTTTCAAAGCTGGCCTTCTGGGGCTCCTGGAGGAGATGAGAGATGACAAGTTGGCCCAGTTGATTACTCGCACCCAGGCCATGTGCCGAGGGTTCTTGGCAAGAGTGGAGTACCAGAAGATGGTAGAGAGAAGGTATAAAAGGAAATTTATTTCTAAAAATCTTCCTTCTTCAGAAATACATGTGGGGTAGCTAACCATTGAGATTAGATATAAGTCCATCAAAGTAGGAAGGAATGAATAAGACTCTTGTAATAAATTAGACATATACCTTTACTTGAAACCCTAAGGTGATGATAACCATCATGGAGTATATTTTAAATTTTTAAGTTAAAAATCTCAGACAAATAAAGTGTATATGGTTCTATTAATAAGAGAAAACACACCAGGACATAAGAGGAAACAAACTATTACCCTAGCACTTAATTTTAATACAAATTTACTGGGTGAACCATTAAGTAAGGGACACTGAACTACATGTAACAAACAATATTTTGCTGTGTTTTATAAAAGATGCAGAAACAAACTCCTCTACGATCATTGCTATTATTAATCTAGCATGAATAGGACTATTGAGAGCATATATCTGTGAAAGATTTTTTCCCTGAGTACATTAATGAGTAATTAATACACAGCTTTCTGGTGAACTACTTTGATGGAGTAACTGACTTTAAATACTACTGAATCGGATAGCTCAAACTGTAGGATGCAGATGACTAGAGCCCATAGTGAGAAATACGTTTCATATTGTTGCCTAGACAGTAGCATATATGTGTGCATATGTATATAAAAACAATTTACATGAAAATAAATGGCATGTTTTCTTGTCACTTGTAATCAATTATATATTTTCTAGTGTATTCTATGCCACTAAAATAGTAAATTTAAGAGAATAATAATAAACTTTCATGATGCCCCTCAATCTTTGCTCTTCTGGATTTGTTAGAAAGAAAGAGAGACACAGGAGGAGAGCAGACCCTGGCCCGTTCACGGGGAGACTGCATCTCATCTCCTCAGTGTCTCATGTGCATCATTCACATTTCAGAGAAGCCCTCTTCTGCATCCAGTACAACATCCGAGCCTTCATGAACGTCAAGCACTGGCCCTGGATGAAGCTGTTTTTCAAGATCAAGCCGCTGCTGAAGAGTGCGGAGACAGAGAAGGAGATGGCCACCATGAAGGAAGAGTTTGCGAAAACCAAAGAGGAGCTCGCCAAGTCAGAGGCCAAGAGGAAAGAATTAGAAGAAAAGATGGTGTCACTGTTGAAAGAAAAAAATGACCTGCAGCTTCAAGTTCAATCTGTGAGTAGTAATGGCACAATGAGTACCACTAACTAGGATGAGAGTTTGTACTGGCCAACTACAGAGAGTGGGCTGAACTGTAAGCACAGGGGACACGGACTGGAGTGAGAAGGTGAATGCATTCAGATGGCATTAATAAAGGCTCACTCTATTCCTTCACTGGCCAATAAGTGTCCCCAAACCAGTACTAAGGCAATGAGCCACAGCCATTCTGCATAACTCGGTCAAACCACATGATTTATAGGTATATGTGGGTGCTGCACAGAGTTAAGCCCTTGATTACTAGTCAAAAGGTTGGTGGTTCCAATCCCACCAGAAGTGCCTCAGAAGAAAGGCCTGGCAAACTGCTCTAGAAAAGGCACCACTTTTAAAATCCAATCGTGTAGTTCTAGTCTGCATCCAGGAAGTTGCCAAGAATCAGAACTGACAGCAACTGAACTCTGGTGGCTTGACTGTGAGGAGTTATCCTGCCAACCCAAAGGCACAGGGTTAAAATCCAGCAACTGCTCCATGGTAGAAAGATGGGCAATCTCCTCTCATGAGCTTTACTGCCTCTGAAAATCTGCTGAAGAATGAGTTGGCTCCACTTAATTGTACACAACAACAACAATAATATAATCATGACTTCTTTTCTATTTAAAGATAATCTATAAAAGTGGTTTTAACATGAAACAACCCTAAACAAAATACTGAAGAGAGGTTATTACAGATAATTATTTTAGGCACAAAAATATCCTTGAATTGCTAGATATCCATGAGTCTATAATCACAATATGAACAATTTACACTGGGAAGTATTCTAGATTAAATTTGAGTAATTGGTTATTACTGGTTTTTATTTATTATTGATTTTGGAAACTCTTAATCACCTTTTGAATGTATCCCACAGTCATATCCCATCATGCCACACTTAGATTACTGCAGCAGAACTAAATTTTTCTGGCTCCTCTCAACCTCTCTTCCCTTCTGTCCAGCTGTTCACTTCCAGATCAATCATTCTAGAACTGCTTCCATCAATTCTGATATCTCATTTCTAAGATTTTCTCACTTGGAATAAACTGGATTGGTCTGGTATAATGTACTTATCACATGGTTATATATTTTTTTTCCTAGTTGATTGAGATTAATTTATTCTGTCAAGCCTCGGCAGTGTTATAACTGCGAGATTCCAGAAGGGCAAAGCTATTTCTTTTCTGTACTTCTCGCTCAAATATATCCCGACTCTGCTGTCTTTGGAGAGTTACTCAGAACCTGCCCCATACCCACTACACGTTCACTTCACTTAACATCCATGACACATTCTGCAAAAGAAGATATTATGTGACTTAGAAACTGTGCAAACACTATATTACACACAGGCAGTCACTGGATTACAAATGAACTCCATTCCTAAATCTACTGTTAAACTGAATTTGTACAGAAGGCATAGTTAGTTATGATCTGCATTTAAAATTAGTTCATCAGAAATTTATCTTAGTATATAGTGTACATTTCTATGGGCAGCAAACATAGAAGTAAAGTACTTTATTTAAGTATTTCAGGAAGTAAATACTTCTAGAAAATACTTCCAGACTCACTAAAACAGTTTTAATATAATAATACAGTAATAACAATTTTAATATTTCAATGACTATTGCATAGAAATTCCCGTCTGTCATTATGAACCTTACATACCTATAACTTGTTTTTTTAGAACATTGTTTCTTCTATAACTTTTAATGTCATTGATTTTACAAGAGTGAGAGTCTGAAGGCATATGAGTTACAGCACTAATGTTTTAATGAATGTTGTAATGTCTATTAGTTATTGGGAACCACTGTATGTACTTGTAACTTTTAATATAAAAGACTTTACAAGGGTTGGGACTATGAATGTACACAAGTTCGACAGTGCCTAAACATTTTATTATTTAAAGTAGTCAAAGGATGATCACTAAGGGGTATATATTCCATTATATTTTCTCTCTCATTCCCAATCCCAGTTATTGGGACCATAGCATGCTGACAGATTTTCTTTTTTTATGACATTATACTCATATTGAACCAAGAACATTATAGCAAGGACCCCTTCATCACTACATCAAAACATTTTCAGTAATGAATGTATCTTGAATTTTTCCATTTAGATGCCTTTTCCTTCTTTTTCTATGCCATACAATAAATTTATTTAGTAAAAGCAAATCCGACCCATATCTCAAGATCAAACTCAAATACTATCTCTTTCATGCAACTATATCTCTGATCAAACTTTTCTGATGTCTATGTCATTGACTGTTTTATATCCTAATGATGCATTTGGGAGCAGTTTCTAATTATTGTGGAATGAACTCTTTGGTCGGGATAGGCTACCTCAAACATTTGATATATTTTGGTTTTCCCACAAAGTATTTTCATAATGCAAGTAGTTTATGGAAAAAAGTTTAAGACATAAATAAATTAATGTAGGAAACCCAAAGAACCAACAGCAGAAACGTACATGGTTATAATTGTGAAATAGTTTATCCTTTCACGCAAATTTTGATCTTATTTCCAACTCTAGGAAGCTGAAGGTTTGGCTGATGCAGAGGAAAGGTGTGACCAGCTGATCAAAACCAAAATCCAGCTCGAGGCCAAAATCAAAGAGGTGACTGAGAGAGCTGAGGATGAGGAAGAGATCAATGCTGAGCTGACGGCCAAGAAGAGGAAGCTGGAGGATGAATGCTCAGAGCTGAAGAAAGACATCGATGACCTTGAGCTGACATTGGCCAAGGTTGAAAAGGAGAAGCACGCCACTGAGAACAAGGTGCGAGTCATATACACACAATGTTTTTGTGTCTATGCTTTTAAAATTGTGGATTGAAGCATAAAACTGAACCCACTGATTTATGTATTATTACATTGAATGCAAAATCTTTTTCCTTCCTAAGGTGAAAAACCTCACAGAGGAGATGGCGGGCCTGGATGAGACCATAGCAAAGCTGACCAAGGAGAAGAAAGCCCTGCAGGAGGCCCACCAGCAGACGCTGGATGACCTGCAGGCGGAGGAGGACAAAGTGAACACCCTGACCAAGGCCAAAATCAAGCTGGAACAGCAAGTGGACGATGTAAGTCTAGTATTATCTAGAAAATTAGTTTCTTCTCAAAAAAAGCTAAGCATTCCTTCTGACTCTGCACTATCAATGTCCAGCTTGAAGGGTCCCTGGAGCAGGAGAAGAAACTTCGAATGGATCTAGAAAGGGCTAAGAGGAAACTTGAGGGTGACCTTAAGTTGGCCCAAGAGTCCATAATGGATATTGAAAATGAGAAACAACAATATGATGAAAAGCTCAAAAAGTAAGTATTGGAGAAACTGGCTCTCAGATGGCTTCCCAATGTTAGATGTGGACTAAATTGCTGTCCTTTGCTACTTTTCAAAAAGAAAAGAGTTTGAACTTGGCAATCTGCAAAGCAAGATTGAAGACGAGCAGGCCCTTGGTATTCAACTGCAAAAGAAAATCAAGGAGTTGCAAGTAAGTGAATGTGTCCCTCTAGCCCAGCTCAAAGAGGCTGTCAAAGGTATGGCCTGGGAAGCTGAGCTGGTGCTTGTCACCATTTCCAGGCCCGCATTGAGGAACTGGAGGAGGAAATCGAGGCAGAACGGGCCTCCAGGGCCAAAGCTGAGAAGCAGCGCTCTGACCTCTCCCGGGAACTGGAGGAGATCAGCGAGCGTCTGGAGGAAGCTGGTGGGGCGACTTCAGCCCAGATTGAGATGAACAAGAAGCGGGAGGCCGAGTTCCAGAAGATGCGCAGGGACCTGGAGGAGGCCACCCTGCAGCACGAGGCCACAGCGGCCACGCTGAGGAAGAAGCACGCGGACAGTGTGGCTGAGCTTGGGGAGCAGATCGACAACCTGCAGAGGGTCAAACAGAAGCTGGAGAAGGAGAAGAGTGAAATGAAGATGGAGATCGACGACCTTGCTAGTAACGTAGAAACTATCTCTAAATCCAAGGTACTATGGGAAATGGTTATTATTAAGAATAATTTGTCATGTATATATCATAATTTGCACTGGGCACTTTATGAATATTATGCCATTTATTATTAACAATAATCCAAGAATGTGGAAGAAAACATTGTTTTTTAAAAACAATTATTTCCTCTTAACATAGAAAGAAACTGAAATATTAAGAAGTTACTTACATATATTGCCATGTCACACAAATATTAAATGAAGACACCAGCTTTTGATCACAGTTCACTGGCATTCTCTAGGTCTCCAATTGAAGAACACAAGTCTTCAATATTATCTGATAAGCAAAGTTTCATTATAAAAACAAGGCAAGGAAGTAGATATGAATATGCTTTTTGGAAAAAAAAATACATTATAATCTGGATGAAATTGTCCCTCTAGAATATAATCTGCAAATTTTTGTATTAATATTGAATAGGACTTCCATTTAAGGCAGCTATTCTAAAATCTAAAGGAGAAATATATTTTACATGCCACATGACTATAACAAACTTATTGGTTATTATAAATCAAAATAATAATTTCCAGTTCTTGTCTCACAAAGACCAGTAGCTTAAAAGGGCTTCATACACTTGCACTTTTTGGTCTTAGGGAAACTTAGAGAAGATGTGCCGCACCCTGGAGGATCAAGTGAGTGAACTGAAGTCAAAGGAGGAGGAGCAGCAGAGGCTGATCAATGACCTGACCACCCAGCGAGGACGCCTGCAGACAGAATCTGGTAACTTTCTCCTCTTCTCCAGGGTCCAAGAGTGGAGCTCTTGAGTAGGGACAAATGATTGGTGAAGGAAGAGCCTAATCAAAGCAGCTAAAAACATATTGTTCATGTCACCTCAGACCCTCAACATATGAGCAAGGTCATTTTGGGATGATGTTGGAGATAAAAGCTTCAATTGGATTGAGTCAAGCTCTGTTCTAGAAATGCCTTGAAAAGGTGGTTAGAAGGAGGTGGAACTCCTGCAGGCGTTCAGAGTTTTTAGTTCAGACTAAGTTGCCTTTTATCTATTTATCTCAGAGTGAAACACGTTCTGGATACAATTATGGACAATTTTCACTAGACATTCTAGCTCTCTTCTTTGATCGAACAAAAAGAAATCACTAAAATAGGCACAAAATCACATAACTTGGGAAGAATTAGCTATGGCAAGAACAAATAGGATTTATGTATTCATTTAAAGAATAATTTATTCAGAATAATGTATGTTCACCATGTTGTTGTTGTTATGTGCCGTCGAGTCATTTGCGACTCATAGCGACTCTCCCGACAATCTGCTCTGCATACAGGTTGAAAAGGTGTCTGTGTGCCTGTGTGTGTGTGTGTGTGGTTCAAACCCCAACCTTCTAGACAAAACTGGGCATTTAACTGTTTGTGTCTGTAGTCTGAAAGTATCCAGTACAAGGCAAATGGCACAGTAAAAAAGAAGGCTAGGATTTAGGGCAAACCCCTTGGGTTAACAGCACACTGATCCGGCCATTCACGAGTTGCTGTTGTTGTAAGTTGCCATTGAGTTAGCCTGAACTTGTCGTGACCTTACATAGAAGAGAATGAAATGCTCACCATGCACTTGGCCACCAGGTCATCTCTCACCACTGTATTGGACAATATTCGACTGTAATCCAAAAGGTCTTCAGTGGTTACTTCACAAGTAGATTAACCAGCCTTGCATCCTAGTTCGTCTCAGTCTGTAAACTCCACCAATACCTGTCCACCTTGGGTGACCCTGCTGATAACTGAAATGCTGATAGGGTAGCTCCCAGCATCATAGAAACACAAGCCACCTCAGGATGACAAACTGAAAGCTAGGCGGTAGATTGACTATCTGTTGTTATTGTTGTTGTTATGTGCCGT